CTCAGTTTCTAGCCCAGTATCAAAACACCGAGCGAGCCTCCAGAAGAAGATGAATCATGAGGCCCTCTCTACTTAAAACTCTTTCTAAGATAAGACATCAGGAGAGGATGTTATCCTGTCAAAATCACTGTCTCTAAGGTCAAACGCACCCGAGGCTTTGAAATTTGCCCTATGCTTTTTGCCTAAGGCACAGTAGAGGCTTCTCCGAAGACTGTTTCTGCAGGCTAGCTCCATAACACAACAAAGCAAAGGAGCCTTCAACTGCCCCAAGAGCTTGTCTTGTCACCTGCAACACCTATTAGAGTGAAGCATCTCATCTACAGTGCTAACCTGGCCATAAATGCATGCCAGGTAAACCAACTGATAGCACAGCCCGAGCTCTCAATGTAATTAATGAGTCACCATTATATCCTCTTCGAACTGAGAGTCCCGGGAATTGATTTCAGTGCAGTAATTCTTTACCTAATCAGGGCCTTTGTAAAAGACAAAGACAGTGTAGCATTCCGAGTAAATGATTTCCCTTATTCGGATGCATGACTCACGGTTATCATTCATAAAAGGATCCCCATGGAGTCTATCAAGATCATTGAATATATGAATGAAATTTTTAGTGGAAGAGATTCTCAACAATACTTGCAAGGCCCCACCAACACTCAGTTATTAAGACTGCAGGACAAAATGAGTCATCATGTACTTAGGAAAAGTGTACAACTGACAGACATAATACCTTCCATACTGATGCATCTTCTCAGTGCTGTGATGATACATTAACCCTGCAGACGGAGGAGCTTATCATGCCAGGAGACCCTATTTTCCTTTCAAACGATTATATTCTCATTCTCAAGGCTCTCCATGGCTTCTATTATGTAGAAATGTCCTTCTGAGCATGCAAATGTTAGGCAAGCATATTATTCTGGAAATTTTCCCTTTGGCATAAGGCATGACAGGAGTTTTCCATCATGAACCTCTACTATCACGTGGCTATCAGGGCAGAAATATGTGCTTGTTCAGGCTCTTTCCCAGGAGATTTTTCCCAGGAACTTGGAGACCTATGTTGCCCTTTTGTGGAGCCACTGAGTTTTCTAATGCTCCGTACTGTATCCCCAGGCAAGACCTCAGCATGACCTGAGAAACAATGCTGTATCTCCGATACTGTAAAAAGGATGCTATCATTATTGGTATTTGAAGTTAATGCAAGGCAAGCCCCTTTGCCTTGCTTAGAGGCAGTTCCTGCTAAAAACAGTGCCTTCTACTCTCCACTGCAGTCAAATCGTTAGATCGTTTGTTTCCTGTAAGTGTGACCAAGCCACTGGACCACAGTCACCCATGCGGACTCTACATTGAAGGAAAAGACAGAGTCTTGGGTTGTTCTTTTTATGAATAAGATTCTCATTGCTTTTAACTCTCGCTCCTTTCTCCCCGACAGCTCCAAAGCTCAATTATCACCACTCATAGTAATTTAAGTAGCATTTTAACAAAATACCCCGGGCTTCTATCCCCAAAGTGGCAGCTGTGAAGTAAATCTTCCTGGTTAACAGCTGTCAGTTGTCAATGGGATACAGATAATTAAATTTAAAGACACTTTATGGTCAGAAAAGACAGATAAAACCCTTGCACCAGAAAAGCCTTTAAGTTGATGTGGTTACTGCCCTCTCTGGCACTGACTCTAATTCATGACTTTGATTGTTTTCTTATGAAACAGGTAACAGAGAACTGGAAATTGCATTTGTGTTTTTATTTCCCAGCTAAAACTACGTGCGTGGTTTTATTTTAATGCAAGTTGGGGGACAAAATGGTGAAAGAAACTAATGAGAGTGGGCAGGTGGGAGGGAAGGAAGGAGACATGGGGAGGTATTTGAGAAACCATCTGCATAAGGTTGTATATAAACTGTGATAGGCAGGGTGAGAAGGCAATCGTTAGGTGCTGTAAATACAAGAGATGGAAGAGCAAGCAAGAAAACCTCAAGTCAACGTTTCTAAAAGCTTGTAGATCTTTTGGTTGTGAGGTATCCCTGCAACTGTGTTAGTTCAAGTTTCTTCTATAAATATTAATCTACATTTCATATTACTATTACTAAATTCAATAATTGGAACTTTAACGTTTTTATTCATTTTAAATATCTCCATTTATTAATTCATTTGTTTTCCATGACAACATTCATTAGAAGCTATTCTTGCAATATATGTGTATAGTATATACATACACATATTATACATAATATATAAAATTACATACATATATACACAATACATATATAATATATATATAATCTAAGAAATGTAGGCTTTCTTTGAACTTCTCCCAAGCACATTTCAATGGAGCTATAAGAGGAGGTGGAGGGAAGAAAAGAGAAAGTTGTATAATTATAGTTGATTAAAATGTAAAATAATAAGAAGAAGGTAGCTAAATAAGCCATGGAGCATCAGCCAGGGGCAGCTCTTCTTCATGGTCTCTGCTCCTGTGTTGGCTTCTCTTGATGATGAACACGAAAATGTAAGATGAAACAATGCATGTTCTACGTACACACTTTCGCGTGCGTGCATTATGAAAACTAAACTCTTACTCATTTACTGAAAAAACAAACTGGAGACACAGGATGCTTAGTCTGTTTATTTTTAAATACAAATATGCTGTTCTGCTATCATTGTGTACTATTGGCTAAAACTGTTGAGCTATATTATAGCAGACATTCCACGGTGGTGAACTGAACCAACTGAGTAAATCTGTGTGTGCCTTGTGTTCACATTGTGTCTGGCGCTCACAGATGGGATTCTTGACTTCCTCTAAGAATCTTTGGAGTTTCTGTTTTGCTGGCAGTAAACTGTGGCCATTAACAATTGTTGTAGAAACATGACTTGGGTTCTCTGTCTCCAAATTTAGAATCAATATGTCATGAAATCAGAAACCTTAGAAAACATCCACTTTCAAAGCTTGTCACTATTTAAAGTCATGGTCCCAAGATCAATGGAATTTAGGAACGTCTGTATAGAAGTCTTAAGTTTTGTAGAGATTTTTACCTACAGAGAAAACTGCTTACATTGTGAGTGTTGACTTTGCTTATTGTCGTGTGTCTTCCTGCTTCTAAAAGTTCAGTTTGCAGGCAGATACTCAACATAAAAGAAACTTAATGAGCTTGCGTCACTGATCACTGAGAGGTTAAAATTCTGGGGATTTACATATCTGAATCCATGCTCTCCCTTTGATATATTCATAGGCATGCTATCATTCAAATGGTGTTGCCTCATGAAGGAGAAATAGGACACTTAATTGTTTTTAAGTGACTTAGCAGAGCATATTAAGGTAGTGGAAATTACAGTAAGGAAATGTATCAGTTATTTGGAGTTATTTGGAGATGATCCTAAAATGGTGAATTACTGACTCTGCGAATAAAACATTGATAAGAAGTAAAAAACACCTCCATGCCATTGATTTCACTCCTATTTACTGTACTGGCCGATGACTTTCACTGAGAAATCTGAGATTCCTGCAAATGCAAATAATTTTTGAATCATATAAACTCAGCACAAACTTTAACTTGCTCTTTTGTTTTAGCATAGAGCAATAAATAAATATATGCTAGCAAACATTTTTAAATTAATTAAGTTTTCAAATCTAATTTTCTAAGAACGTCATATATGAATATTTCATCTACATAACTTCTTTTCTCCCTCCTCTCTCTCCAACTTTTTTCATGCCTTCCGCTTTCAAATTCACAGCCTCATCATCTTTAATTATTATTTATAATATAAATATATATACACACATATGTACAAACACACATATGCATATGCACACATACATACACACACATACACAACTTATTGAGTCAATTTAATGTTGTCTGTATGCATATGTCCAAGGATGACTACTTCGCATTGGACAACCTATATTGGAGCTTGCTTGTAGAGGAGATTGGTCTTTCCTTTCTTGGCAGCCATTGCGTTCCAGTAGCTCTTCATCTAGCAGCAGGACTTTGTGTAGATTCCTTGGTTCATATTGGTCAATCAGTTTTGTCATTATGCCATTCCATTCCTTTTCAGCAAACTATATTGTTGAGAGCTCATGGGTGTATTTTCCCTTATCTAGCCACAGGCATCCTGAGCTACTGGGTATTAGAATCTTTCTCTGCCTCTCCTATAATGTTTTCTGTGCCTTAGTGTTTAAAGGAGCGGCGGTGCTGCGTCCTGCCACCTGGCTAGCTTTACCCGAAATAATTACATGGAAACTGTATTCTTTTAAACACTGCTTGGCCCATTAGCTTTAGCCTCTTACTGACTAGCTCTCACATCTTGCTTTAACCCATTTCTAATAACGTGGGTAGCCCGACGAGGTGTGGCTTACCAGGGAGGATCTTAACCTGCATCTGTCTGGAGTGGGAGAATCATGGCAACTGCCTGACTCGGCTTCTTTCTCCCAGCATTCTGTTCTGTTTTCTCTGCCTACCTAATTTTCTGTCCTATCAAAGGCCAAGCAGGTTTTTTTTTTATTAATTAACCAATGAAACAACAGATAGAAAGATGACCCTCCTCCATCACCTTAGGTATAGAAGTTGCACCGCTGATGTATTAATCAGGGTTAGGCATCCCATGGACACTTAGTATCTGCATTTTGATCAGTTGTGGATTACTGTAGTAGTCTCCATCTGTTGCAAAATGCTTATTTTAAAAGAAGAGAGAAACACACTAAGTGCTTGCAATACTGTTAGAAATAATATTAGTTTCAGGAAATGGCATTAATAGCCTCATGTCTAGAATCTATGACTTCTTAAGCCACAAGTAGGTGGCAAAGCTTACAGTACCAGGTATGAGTTCCCCTTTAGTTAGCTTGACGTATAAGCTGTTGGTTACAGTAAAGATACAAGTAGCACTGTGGAAACATCTTTATCAAAGAAGAAGGATTTGTAAGTTGTTTTTGCGTTTTTGGTAAAGCTTTGAGTAAAAGCATAGAATTATAGAACCAAGCAATCTGTTTACCATTTCTTTCTTATTCACTATTTCAGAGCTCCGAGAAACCAAGACCTCTGAATATTTCAGCCTGTCCCACCACCAGTTAGACTACAGGATATTACTGATGGATGAAGATCAAGACCGGATATATGTAGGGAGCAAAGACCACATCCTGTCCTTGAATATCAACAACATCAGTCAAGAACCTTTGAGTGTAAGTTTGTCATTTTCATGAGGGATGTCTTGACATTATAGGTATTTAAAAGAATTCAAATACATTAAAAATAATATATATTAGATTAGAAAAAGAGAAACTACTAGACACATGGATGGACACACACACACCAAAGTTACTTTTTACTTTGCTGCTGATAAATATATTTAGTCTATTAAGTCTCAGAAGTTTTAAAAATTGATTTGAACTCCTCAAATGATTGTAAAAAACACTCCTTGTATATTTATCTATGCAAAAGAAAAAGGAGTGAGTAGGGGAAGTTTACCAGGAAAACCCTGGATAGAAAAGGAAGAAGAAGCATGTCTTCTGTATGTAACTGACAGAGGGTGAGGAATACAGCTGCTAGCTGCATCAATATTTGAATAACCTACATTTATCATTCTTTTGCAGTAAGAAAGCAAAATCAAGCATCAATGAAGTAAAAAAAAGCAAAACTGTGTTAATGATGTTTATTATAAATAAGATAATTTGCATTTATTATTTTAAAGGATGACAACTCAAAATGTATTCTTTTCTGACCAGCAGCAATTTAGAATGTTAGCACACTGCTTCACAGGGGCTGTGGTTTCATTGCATGTGTGACGTTGTTGAGGCACATGAAGACTCACTTTATTAAATCTGCCAGTCTGGCTGCGTTGTTTACCAAAGGTAATACCCAGCTAATATAGACAACAAACATAATTCATAATGATATAAATGGGACAAAAGTGTGAGTCCAATGGGCAAAATATGCATTATATTTTGCACATTTATGTTTGTAACGATTTTATTTAAGTACATAATTATAGATTTCCATGCGTTCCTGAACATGTTTTGTTAAAGAAAACTGGATGAGCAAAAACTGAATGGTCTAACAGGATAATAGTCAAATAGCTTGAATTCTGAAGCTAAATGGGGAATTAGGAAAAACAGAAATAGTAACACCTTACAGAAACCACATAGTCAAAAGCACATGAAGAATGATGGGTTGCTGTGTGCCTGACTGAGATTATACAAACTTTATGTTTCTTCCTGAACAGGTTTTCTGGCCAGCATCAACAATCAAAGTTGAAGAATGCAAAATGGCTGGCAAAGATCCTACAGTAAGTAGTTGAAGAGCACACACACACACACCACATAAAAACACACACAATAAATATATGTACAGCACCCTACTTACATACATCATGTATGTGCAAACATACCTACTTCCACACACAGTCATATTACATACACACACACAGACACACACATTCATACATACACATGCACATCACACACATACTACCTACATCATACATTCAGTCATTACATATACCACATACACACAAATATCACCACACACACACACACACACACACACACACACACACACACACATACGCATGCGCCAACTACTTAGTCTTCAGATGTATATGGTGTGAGAGCAGACTGGGATTAATGGTGGTGGTGATCCTTGGCTGGACATATTAAAAATGTAATGCGACAAGCCTGGAATTCTTGGGCCATCTGTAACTTTAGAATTCCTGACTGGTTAAACTTTCCTGCCTTGCTTTCATTATTTAATGCAGACACTTTTCATGATTGATTTCACCAATAAACCTTTTTCTGAGTGACTCCAACCTACAAAATTCTCAGCGGGCTGCTGGAAGAATGTTAATGTGAGCGCCTGGAGTAGCTTCTAGATGCTATGGGAACTATTCCTAGGATTCTCAGTGAAAAAACAGTTGTGAGCCTGCACATTCCAGATAAATAAGTCCACAGTGATGAACAGTACATTTGCCAATTGAAATAATTACCAACCAAAATGAAAACAGATATACACATAGACAAATGTGAAGTGCAACACTTGTGCAAATTGGAGTCCCTTACACCAGCTTCAGTGGAAAGAGTCAAGCAAGGAACCTATATTGATTTCTATGAATGACTTTCTGTCACTGACGTCAAATTATTCTTGAATATTCCATAAGAAATGCTTGGAACTGATTTTTCATCAACACAATACTGCATATATATCATTTACATTTTTCCCTCAAATCATGAAAAATATCATAATGGACCTAAGTATCAAAAATATACACTGTCATAAATAATTTTGTAAAAGACTCCTGTTCGCATAATTCTAGTTACTAAATATATAATTTTTATAAACACAGACTTAATTTTTTTAACCCTATCTAATTGAAAAAATTAACTTGCCTTTAGTGAGCAGGAAAATAGATTTAAATTAAGGAATGCAATAGAAATATGGCTATTATATAGAAAATCTATTGTGTTTATACACACACATCCAGGTTTGAGAGGATCATATGAAGTAGTAGCCTCAACTTTGTGTTCAGAAATGTTTGGCTGACCACACAAGAGATTCTGAAAGGGTTAAATGTAAGTGCTCTGGAGAGGCACTGAGACAAGTTAGTCATGGGGGGGGAGGCGGGAAGACTAATTCATAATGAAATAATTTTTTTAGTATGGCTGACTCTCAAGGTAGTGTCTGATCTAAACTTCCAGAAAGGCTGGGAAAAGTCAAGGCAAGAGCCTTAAGCAGCTCTTTTTGACCTATAGGTCATCACCCCTTTGGGGAATCAACAACCCTTTCACAACGATCACTTAAGACCACTGGAAAACACAGGTATTCACATTGAGATTCATAAGAGCAGCAAAATTAGGATTATAAAGTAGTAACACAAATAATTTAATAGTTGTGGTCAACACAACATGAGGAACCGTGTTAAAGCATTGCCGCAGTAGGAAGGACCCCTACTTGAGAGGGGTCCTTAACCATCTGTGTATTATTCCACAAGCGTTCTTGGGAACCATGACTAGGAGTGACTCAGCTCTAATGCTTACATTTTCAATTTTATATTTCATTCAGTTAACAGAACTTAAAAGAGGAAGAAGAAACATGAGAACATATAGTTACAATCTAAAGGAAATTTAGAGGGTGGAAATCCAGGCGAGGGGGGAATGCACATTTTGTTAGCCTTTCAGGGAAAAAAAAAACAACAAACAAAACAAAACAAAGCAGGGTGCTGTGCTGTGGAGAATGAAGATTTCCTTAAGCTATTCTTCTAATAACTGGGCATGAGTTGAGCCATTCTCCTTCCTCTGCTAGTGAAGACATTTCCCACTGAAGCATGTCTGATCATGTCTTCCTTTGACCACAATCATATCCCATGGCGATGTTACTGAGTTTCCAGATGTTTTGTTTAGGAAGGTTTGCATTTCCCATTGACTGCAGTTGCTGCAGGGCAAGTATGTAGACTGTAGATACGTTTGTATACTCCTTTTCTAAAAAGTGATCTTTATTCATCTCAAGCATCTAGACAAGTCATTTGACCCCTTTCTCCCTTTGGCAAAATGGAAATCTATTATGTGATAATTAAAACTTATCTGATAAAATCTTCAGTATGGGCTTAACATTTCCCCACAATTTTATTATGCTGTAATATCAAGCATTAGTATAGTGAATTTACACAATTGAGAAGTCATCCATGACGAGATCTGCCCTACGCATTTTTATGATTAAACAGGAGAGGTTTTTGCTTTTCCAGATAAAAATGTTGAGTTCTGGGAAATAATAATCTATGAAATTCTTTCAACTACCTACTTTATCTGTGTAGAAGAGACTTTGTAATGAATACGTCTTGTGTCCTAGGTGTGCAGTCCTTACAGAGACCTCCTGTTGATCTGGTGTCAAGGAGAAAAGGCCAGTAGGAACTCACCAATGAGAAACAGCTAGAACATTCTATAGACAATGTATTTTATTTTAATTTTCATTGACACCAAGTGTTTGCAAATATCTTCACACTGTTGAAATAGTTGCTACCCAATAACATAGCATTTCACCTTTTAAAACATAGTACTCGAGTATTTTTTATTAGTAAAGTTTCACACATGTTTTGGCTGTAGCCATCCTCCTCCCACAGCTTTTGCCAATTCACCCTGATTGACTTTTTAAATGCTGTGAAAACCAGTGATTATGAACAGTTTTTGTGTTAATGAGGTGAAGGCAGTATGCATACGTGGCTTTTCAATACACGAGAATGATTAGACATATATGTAACAATTATGAGACACCATACTCAAATTTAATGGAACAAACCAGGCGCTGTTCTATGTGTTCCATTCGAATCTTGCAAGCTATTCAGTTATGCAAAATAGAAATTGAAAAGAGTCGTGATTTAAAGATTAAGAAACTGAGCAAGTAAAGAGAATGAGAACCTAGTTCCGAGTGTTGCAGTAGTGAGGGCCATGGCCCTCGTCTGGTGGAGAACAGCAACCCTAGACCCTGAACTTCACAGCGAAATTGCATGTCTTGCTGGGAGAGAACAGAAGGGCTACAAAGACACAAGACAAATAACAGTGGAGCTGGGATATTTCGCAGAGCTTGCTTTGATAGGTTTGAGAGAAACCATGCTAAGTATATCTTTTAACATTACCCTGTGTTTCATATCAACAATAGGAAGCTTCACTTAAGTTAAATCCTCTTTTTTCCCCCCATCCTTTTGATTTATGCTGTATCTGAGTATTAACTCCAATTGCTCGGGATTTTTGAATTTCAAACCATCTTCTGAGACCTTCTGGTCACGGTACACTGGCTGTTCTCTAGAAAATCCTCTCTTACCACTGCTGGACTTGGTGTTCCTTCTGTGTGTGCTCCTGAAATGCCCTACCATTTACTGCACCGACTCTTAATAATATGTCTCTCTGCACTAATTGGAAATGCTGTGTGGCAAATGTCATTATCCACTATGCCCAGATTTGCATCTAGAAAACTTCATCAAATCTAAACAAGTTCGGAATAGCAAGGAAGGCAATTAAGCAAGGGATTCTGTTCAAAGAGCTTATTAGGCACTGGAGTTGTGACATGGTAGATGAGGAGTTTGCTAAGGCTCTTAGACTAGCAATCCCTAGAGAAAATGTATGTATTTCAGAAAAACAGTTTGCTACGTTTTTCTTTTAAATATATTTATCGTCTCCTAAGTAAAATAGAAAGTGGGAGTAAAAGTCCAGAAAAACAACAGAAAGAAATCAGAATTCATATTACAGAAATTTCATTTGTATATGAAATTTATATCAAATTGTAAATAAACTTATTTTTAAAGGAGATGATAGGAACATAGTTTAGTTTACAAGTGTATGCCTAGCATATAAGCCATCCTTTGTGTCCTATCCCAATATTATGGAAGCCAAGCATGGTGGCACCCTCCTTTAATCCCCGCCCTTGGACCAGAGGCCTAGTTGTCAGTAGGAAAGGAGTTAGCTAAAGGGCAGTCAGTGCTACAGAAGACACTTTCCCAAGATAAGGGGCAGGAGAGTCAAATCCAGCAGCATTTTAAACATTACACCAGATAATAAATATTCTACAATAATTATTTATATTGAGGGTAAATTATCATAGTGGAAATACAGCAAATTTTCTGTTCAATTAAAGAGGACATAGGCTATTTTATTTTAATCTTTTAACCGACAGAAGTTAACTTCATAAAGTAATGACATAGGTCTGTTTAAACATACAATGTGGAGACTGTAGGTATAGTTCTTGAATTGGTTCAGCATAGATGATGGTCTTCTCATTGGACAAGGATGGAAGGGATGCTTTCCATTACCTGACAAAAACCAGGATAAACATACCTGGTGTTGCAGTCTGGCTCAAAAATACCCCTTACAAGCTTGAGCTCGAATAGCTCACTTTTCATTTTGTGGCACTATTTTGTAGGTTATGGTGTTTTTAGAAGGTGCCCACTTGACATAATAGGTCACTAGAGATTTCCCTTTGAAAATTGTACCCTTCTTTGATTCTAGATTTCTTTATCTCCTTTTTGGTCCTTGCTGTGTGAATGCTTGCTACCACAATCTCCCACGACTACAGAGCCATTTTGCTATGCTTTCTACAATGTGATGGACTGAAATATTCATATATACATAATATGCCTGGGTATTATATATATGTATAGATATATACATACACACATATATGTGTATGCATATATATACATATATGTAATAGTATGATCCATGGAGCCATTATAGGGTTTTTTATTTTGCTTATTATTGAAGTGAAATCCCCTTATACATGTAATATACCAAAATATATATGTGTGTATGTATATATACATATGCATGCACATGTATGTTTTAGGAGTCTCTTGGACAACCCTGACCAAGATAGGGAATGCTCTTGAGATCACAACCCTAGCCAAAGAACACACCAAATGATTATCAAATACCAAAGGATCAGCCTTCAAATATATATATGTAAACACTCACATAATCACAACATCAATTACAGAAAAGAAAGTCCATGAATTTGAAAGAGAGTGAGGCAGAGGTACTTAGCAAAGATTGGAGGGAAGAAGGAAGGAGGAAGTAATGTAATTATAATCCCAAAGAAAATGAAGACGGCATCTTTGGTATTTATTTCCACTAAAGTGCCCAATAGCAAATCTTTTACACATTAGTATTGTGAACAGAGCCAGCACTAACTGGGAAGGACAGATGGCCTGCCCAAATAAAAGTGTTCCCACAGCCTTATTAATATATTGCTCAAAGCAAATGTTATTACTGCTATTTTACTGATGCAAAATTTGAATCACAGAAAACCTATATAACTGGCTTATTAACACATAGAAAAGCTTAAGCCAAGGTTTCAATCCAGGTCCCTGGCTCTGGGGCCTGCTCATTTGATTATTACACATTCCTATCCGAATCTCTCCTGCCCGTGTGAAGGCAATGGCATGATGACAGAGCCACTCCAATTGTTCCTTTTCTCATGACACACTTCTGGGTTACACTTACCCCTCTAGGACAGTCACTCGAAAAAGAAAAAGACAAAAAGAAGAAAGGTCTCACCAACTCATGTAATTGTTTTACTTTTGCATTTTTTACATGCGTGTGTATATGTGTATGTGTATCAGTGTGTGATTGTGTATGTGAATGTAACTCCCTGATGAGGCCAAAAAAAAAAAAAAAAGAAAAGATGTCCAATACCCTGAAACTAGAGCTATGCACGGTTGTGAGCCACCTAATGTGGCTCAAGTCTCATGAAAAACCTACGGTGCTATCTCTCCAGCCCCATGCCTTGTTTACTGATTATGTGATTTTCATTAGGAAAATTCTTTTTTTTTATGCATCTTTAGTGCAAAGACTATTCTGCAAGACCCAGATGAAATTATACTTCTGCTAAAACTTTATACCGAGTTCATATATGAATGTGTTCATGTATGTTTTAGTATGCAATCCCATGACGGCTCCATGGATCCTACCATACCGTAGTATATATGTTCCAGTCCTCTATTTGAATGGAGAAAGTTGTGGTGGGATTCACGTGTTGCTAAGCCTAGATACAGTGCCTTAACGAATATTTGTTGAAGAGAATTTACACCACAGTTTAGGTGAGAAAGAAGGTCAGAAACTGGTGCTCGGCTGAGAGATGATGGCGGCTGGCAATGATCAGCTCAACTGTTCAGCATCACGTTGTTCTGGGGAGGAAGAGGTGTTAGGCTGACTGGGTATGACGGGGTAAGAGATTGTCTACTGATAGCAAAAATGCTACAGAAATCCGGACACTGGTAGTGGCCACAGTTTCCATCTGAGGTTGAGAAACTCTATTTAGTCTCTTTTGGAAATCAACTTTCTTATTAATAAATCGAAAGTCGGCTACTTAATTGAAATATTGCTGTAAGAGTTAAGGAAATCTATGTATGTGGATGAAAATCTTACAGACATGAAGATACTAGGTCTGTGTAAGTATTAAATACTGAAAAGAAAAGTGGGTTCTTAATGCATGCATGTACGACAATGTACAGAAAAGCATGAATTAAATATTATTCATGTGCTTCAAAATCTTCCTTATAGTAGCTCCCTGTGTGAATTTGGCAAATTAAAAACAACAAGAGCCTCTGTGGTTTATTTTTCTGAAGGGAACTGAGTTTTAGAAAGACAAAAAAAAAGAATTCACGTAAAGCCATTAAGAAATATGCACTTAGAGCACATGCCAGTTACAAAGCTAAATACTGAGCATCCTGGGAGGTACTAATGATAAAATATATAACATAGTTATATATTATAAGACACTTAGACATATGTGATAACAAAAGTATATCCATAATAGACACATGCAGAAATTTGAAGTGATATAGTTTTATCTCAAATATAAAAATATGTTGTTGACTTTTTCCTTTTAGTATAGCAACAATTTATCAGAGAAAATTGTCTACAGATCCTAAGATAAGGCAAATGTAACCTTTCCTCTCTAAATTTGCACTAAATTCATGTTTTATCATGAGGTCATCAGTACAAAACTCCAGAATGACTGATCATGAATGTGAAAAATATAAGCATGGGTCTCTTTGCTCACAAATCTTGACATAAGGCATGTTATATACACACCACTCTTCGGTTTTACAGTTTCTTCAGGGTATTATGTTATCAACTCTAGCTATATAATTCATCTCCAGGTAAATATAAAAATAGGTGTCAAGCACAACACTGTATATTTAACAAAGATCATTACTGCCTTAACATTAAAATAAAGTGTGTAGCCTAGAATTTAAGGATTAATTTCTTTGACATTAGAATTAAAGACTGATTAATAGTATGATTAATAGTACATAGTAGAAACATCTTAAAATTCTCATCACAAAAAGAAATTTATACTGTTTGACAAGTAAAAATAAATATTAAACAAAACTGATGGAATATATAAAATAATATAAATGTTTAAATCAATTTTATCTCCTATTTTTGCATTGTACTTTGTTCTACTTTGTAGTAACATAAATACTGGCTATGCAACACACCTAGATAGGAAAAAGGAACATGTATTGTAGACTATCCAGGGAGACACTACTTCTTGAAATATTTTATAGCCTTTATTAAACAAATTATACTTCAGAGGAAAATTTTTCTATAAAAGTCTTTGAGAGAAAATAACTTTGTACAGGTATATCCTTCTGTCTCAGGCTTGATTAATTTATAATCAGCAAAAGTAATGAGCATTTCAGTGACAAAGCTTGGGATGATTAATTTGGCCACAGAGAGCTCACTAACTGCTGCAAGGTAGCAGGAAATTTAGAAGCACAGCAATAACATCCTTGCCAATTTAGTTTAACTAGAGTCAGATGAAAAACGGTCTTGGAAAAAAATGAAAAAAGGTATTTGGTGGGGACCCAGGGTAGAGAGAATGATTCCACCATTCTTCATAGAAGCAGCAGCTTTTCAGATATTGTAAGGTGGCTTTCCTCTCTCAGTTGGACAGGGTAGCCTTGTTCACCATTGGGAACTCATGATAGTATGGAATGTGAATGAACACAACTTCGCTTCAAATATGTCGTGTGTGTGTGTGTGTGTGTGTGTGTGATAATTTAAGGAAAACTAAGCACACAAGTAGTGGTATGTTTGTACTATGTTTTTTTCGTTTATTTGGTTTTGTGTGTGAATGTATTTGTGGGAGCAAGTGCAAACACAAGTAGAGGGCTGAGAATAAGTTTTCAGAGGTGTTTTTCTAACACTGTGCATTCTGGGGATGAAACTTGAGACTTTAGGCTTCGTGGAACGCAACCTTAATCATCAATCCACCTTGCTGGCTGGACTCGACCACATAAAAGGATTAAGCTTGTAGAACAAACGCTAAAGTTTAGAGCATACATACTTATACAGGATCGGCTTGGATGATAACTGAGCAGTTACAGCACTTATGATGCAAATGGCAAGTGTGAGGACCAGAGTTCAAATCCAGAGAGGCCGTGTGAATGCTGTTCTGGCTGGGCCTTAAGCCTGGCCACCTGTCATCGTAGTGCTCAGAGGGTAGATGTGAACCCAGAATTGACAGGTATGGATAACGTGAGTTCAGTTGAGAGGCTCTGACTCCGTGATAATGTGCATAGAGATAGATGCCTGACATTAATATCACATCTCCATGCACAAGCACACATGTGTGAACACGCATAAACATAAACACACACCCACACATACACAAGAAAATTATCAACAAAGACCTCAAACGGAGTATGAAACATTTCAACATAAAAAAACAAAGATCATTTTTATCAGTACATGAAGTTGGCTGCTTGTTCCCAAAACAGATGAATGGAATAAACCAAGCTGTTCTGTTATTGTTATCTTTGAAGAGGTCCCTTAACAAAAGCATTGAGTAGTTAGAAAGTGAATATGCAAATGATATCTAAACCAGATAGATGGGTGTGTTGGGAACATTTTCATACAAGTCTTTGGATTAAATAGGAACAGCAATGTTTGTTCACCCGAACTCTATAAGAATAGAAGATTTGGTCTATCCTGTTCACTGAAAATGCCCGGAGTTCTGAAATCACCTGGCTTACGTTTTTCAAATCTCAGTTGAGGTGTAAGGTCCTCTTTCTGCAATAGTGTTGGAACTACTGCTGAGTAGCTAAATATTTCAGGATGCCAAGTCTCAACTTTTGATTTCTTATTTCCGTAAGTTAAATGAGTGTTTGCTGAGGGCTTTTACAGGTTTAGGAAATTTCTCTAGGATACAGACGAGAGCAGGTATCACGTCATGTCTACCTCCAACATCACATCTCAGGCTAACAGAGCTGCCGTGGGTGGAAACAGGGCACGGTCTCACTAGCTCTTTTCCTTTTGCCAGCATGGCTGTGGGAATTTCGTCCGTGTCATCCAGACCTTCAACCGTACTCACCTTTATGTGTGCGGGAGTGGCGCTTTCAGCCCGGTGTGCACTTACCTAAACAGGGGAAGGAGATCCGAGGTAAGCCTGGGTGTTAATGTCTGAAGCTTGACAGTATTTCAGAGTTAAAAATGTGGGAATTCAACGACAGTAAAATATTATCATGTTTTTACACACACATGAATATATATCATTTTGATTTGGTCTGCCAATGCAAGCTAAATTACACTCTTTTGTCTTTCAAATTAAACATGTTTACTTGTTTCTGAATATACAGGTTGTAAAATAAAGGAAAATGATAAATTTATAATTGTATTAAATGTAAAGCACTAAAGTACAGAAATACTGTGTTTATACTTGCTTTCATAATTATATATATATATTTATTCTCATGTTTTAACTTCAGTACACGCTATGCCTATGTAATTTAAGAGGTGTTTAAGGCAGGATATAAAATGTTTTGTTGAAGAAAGCTTTGTAAGTTGATAAATCGTGCTTTTGTTTAAAACTAACATTACCCAATGCTAGTTCATTCTCACCTTACTCTTTTATTCCATATGGTGATACGAGTTGTTACAGTGCCTAATTAGTGATACTAGTTAGGCAGTCAACTCATATACTGTCAACTGTAAGGTCATCTGGGGATCTGTGGTGTCAAAAGCTGCCCTGTTATCCCAGGACGGTGGCTGGGACTAGCGCTGTGCAGAAATAAGGAGCCGTCCCCATTCTCCATTCCTTCAATCAGCTGCATTATTTCACTTAAAACATTATTTTAGAAGCTACGTTATTGAAAACTACATTCAGTTTGTTATTTAACTTAAATTTAGAAAGTCCGGTTCTTAAGTCATGTCTTATTTGACTGTTAAAGATAAGAATTATGGGAAAACCCACATCATCACTATTAATATTCTTTATAGACTCTTCTTCAGTAAAAACCAATTTACTTTGCTTCTAATGTTGAACAAAGATTTTGCTGTACTCCATTTTATTGAATTGCATTTTGTACATATACTTTATAAATACACATATATAATTAAATGAATATAGTCATTGAAGATTAACTGAATAATTATCATTGGATCTCAGATTTTTTTTTTAAATGGGGCTAAAAATTCTACTGAAATATTCACAATCTTAAAGGGAAAGTAGGCCTTTTGGAAGCATGCTGCCGGATGCACTGAGCTGAGCGATAGGGCCACATGCATGTGATCAACGTCAGTTCTGCTAGTTGATAAGCACGTGTGGTCTTTTCATTTCTAGTGTCTTTGTCCAATTCTCTCCTCGGCATCCTAGACTTCACTGTAGAGGTTGTTTGCCTCCAAGCTTTGTGAATAAAATATTTCTCTTAATTTCTTTCTGGCAAGTTTGCTATTTGTATATTGAAAAATACTGGTGAGGACCCGATGAACATGAACTTCCTACTCACTGTTGATGGGAGCATAAACTCACAAGATCACTTAGAGAGGTCAGCATGGAGGTTTCTCTAAAAGACTAAAAGTGACCCAATGACCTATGACCCAACTTTTCTACTTTTGGATAGATATCCAGAGGATTCTATCTTGGTTTCTTTTCTGTTGCTGTGAAAAATACTTTGCAAACAACAAGATACTAGAGAAAAGGTTTAGTTAGCTCCATGCCATTGTGATAGGGAAATCCTCCCAGCAGCACTTGGAAACAGCTAATCATATTAACTTTGAAATCAAAGGAAGAAAGATAAATACTGCGTGTTCAACTCCCAAGCAGATCATAGAATTTAAACTTTATACGTGTAGGGGCAGTGGGTCTTTAAAATGAAAATGGATTATGATGGGGAAAGAGACATGGATGGTAATGGAATACCTGAGGAAAGAAATCTGTAAGGGAAGAGTACCCCATGGCAGAGGGGTGTGGGAACAGGTGAATGGACCTAGATGAGGATTAACACGGTAGGTACAGAAATGCCATATTAAAACCAATTCAAAACTTATGAAAATTGAAAGTATTGAATTTAATATTGTTAATCAAAAGAAAAATGCAAGAAGAAAGGCTTAATGATCTGGGAGGAATAGAGCTGAGTTCTTAGGAAATTAGATGAAGAGCTTTATTTCTGCTTGAAATAGATGATTAATATTTCACCACATTTCCCAATGTTGACTTTGACTAGACTGTAATTATAATCACACAGAGAAGAGGGGGACTGAGTAATGGAGAAATGGGCCATCAGAGAACACCTGGTATCTGTTTCATCAATTACTCCAGTGCCAACACTGGCTTATCTAGGGAAATCTGTTTCTGCCTCTAGGATCTCAACCAAGATTATTAAATTTTCTTATTTTCTTTATTCTTTGTAATTATTATCTTTGGAAAGCAGATGTGCTAGGTGTCAGGAGGCTGAATCTGGATTGTTTTGACTCCACTTAGCTATGATTGCCTATGATTGATTTATGGACTCCTCTTCTTTAACCATTGTTATCACAGATACATAAAAATGAATAAGCGTGTGTGTGTGTGTGTGTACACAACTTGCTGGGTCTCTTCAGTGTTGCATTGTGTATCTGCTTCTAGGGTGGAAGCACAGTCCATTTTCTTGATTCAGTCACCTTATTTTATATTTTCTTTCCCAAATCACCCTAAGGAAGAAGTATAATCAGTCATTTCGTAAGCAGAGTTCTGGTCATTTTATCTATGCATTCAAAAAATATTATGAGACTATATTTATCCAGGATAGTTTTCAAAAACTTAACTTGATAATTACAGTTCTCCATCATCTGACGTAATCCACAGAGTGTCCATTTTTTTTGCCTTTGTATTTCAGTAATAGTTTGTACTAAGTTGATAGATGGAAAACGTCAGCATCGTTATTTATAAAATCACTCTCTCAGTGTTGCTTACTGTGTACCAATTAATTGATGCGACTGATAATCCTGTCGGTCCTATTCTGTCTCTCTGCACACTTCTTCCACTAAGCATTGAACAGAATCTTACACAACTGATGTCTGTATTTTGTTCTCTTTAGTTTCCATCTTTCTCATTCGGAATCTAAGTTACTCAACGGCCAAGACTTCTGTAATCTTGCTTATTGTATCTGTAGTGTTTGCGTAATCTTAGGGGAAACAGCCAATGACCATTTAAAAAAAAACAGATAATTGAATAGATTATATTTTAATATACATTACCATTTTAGATCTTGTACAATGTGTTGCACAAAAATTAAGTAGTAATATGGAATTTTAGTTTTTAAAAATCTCATTTTAGAAACATTATAATCATTGCATACATTATTCCACGGTTGTTACTTTTCTTCCTTTTTATAAGGTTCTACAAATACATCTATTATATGTATAATGATTTTAGATTTTCAAGTGACTTTTGATGATGTAGATCTAAGGAGAACTCACGCTTATATCTAACTCATGTGCATGGTTTACAGCTCTCGGGGCTTTAAAATGGGATGAGAGTTAGCCCTGCTAAAGTTCTAAGTTAGGTTAGAGCCTAATTTACAGATGGATTCTACTGACAGGACAGCTGAGTCTTAATATACAAATTGGAGACACAGGAGTAGGAAGTATTTATAAAAATATTTTTATTTATTAAATAATGCTTGTTTATATAAATCTGGTATAATTATATTTCATTGTATTTATGATACCGTATCATTATCATCTCATACCTTTTTCTATTACAAAGGACCAAGTTTTCATGATCGACTCTAAGTGTGAATCTGGAAAAGGGCGATGCTCCTTCAACCCCAATGTGAACACTGTTTCTGTTATGATCAGTAAGTAGAAAGAGAAAGAGGGAGGGTGAGCTAAATAATAAAGAACCCACACAGCATATAAATTAGTTAATGTATTTACAAATTTTAAAGATGACTATTTTAAAGTTGAAAGCTCTGCTCATTAGTGATAGTGAGCAGTGGGGATTTACAATCTGTGGTTTTATGACTAATGAACTACAACATGGGGAATAATTATATGTTGTATTGATCTAATAGTCAAATTGATGCATGTTTACACATAATAGATATTTAAGCAAATATTTAAACAGCTGTACTGTTTAAAATGTCTCATTCTTATCTTTGCTATCACCCTCTAAAATGTTGCCATGGGCTTTGTATCCTTTCTGGGAAGGAGAAATTGATGACAAAATGCCTATCATACCAACTCTTTAACTGGTGGTGTCTAGTTCAAAACCTGGTGAGCTCATTTTAGAAACATTTCATTCTGGAGTCTGCCCTATCCAACAGGTATTTTAGGAAATATTTAATGAGAACAGATGCATACATATAAGTTAAATAGCTAAACAGGTCACTTATGACAAATTGGACAGCTCATTTAATTTTAGACATAGTTTTTTTTTCCCTATCACTATTTTTTACAGCACAATTACTGATGAAAAAGTGGGCTGTGTTTATGTTATTATAAATCTTGTAGACTAAAAGATCAAATTGTGGAGTTTTAATGATTAGTTTGTATATAAATATTTTTATAATATTAATTTAGTTTCTGTATAATCAAGAAATAAATATGGTAAAAGTATTATGCCCATCGTATTAAGTAAAATATGAGATGTTTAATATGTAATGAGTACTTTTAGGACCATAGCTTATAACTCATTTTTTATGCCTTATAAAAGAAAATGTGAAGATTCAGTATGTTGAATGACATCATCCTAAATTCAAGTTTTTTGCTTGCTTGCTAAATTTGTAAACAGAGACTGCTGAGACTTGAAAAATCACACAGAAACTGTATTAATTGCAAGACTCTTTGGCCTATTAGCTCAAGTTTCTTGTTAACTAATTCTTACATCTTAAATTAACCCAGGTCTATTAATCTGTGTATTGCCACAAGACTGTAAACTTCCGGCATGTCTTTTCCTTCAGCAGCTACATGGAGTCTCCTTGACTCCACCTACTCTCCTTCTATGTCTCTATTCAGATTTACCTTTACTCTGATAAGCCATTGGCCAAAACAGCTTTATTCATTAGCCAATTAAGGCAACACATATACAGAAAGATATCCCACATCAAAATTTAGAACAAGTAGTCCTTGGATTTGGTTTTATAACTACAAAGTTATCACATTAACAGCCTATTAAAACTAGACCTTTTTAAATTTGGTGAGCAACAGAAACTAATTCATAACTAACTAATTCATAACGGCAAACCTCTTCCAACAATTGGGATGATGTATTAAGTTAAACCTCCTTGAACTTTAAAATAAGTTCAAGAGGCATCGGATTATCTCTGACAATGGCTCCTTTTTCATAGATGAGGAACTATTCTCGGGAATGTACATAGATTTCATGGGAACAGACGCTGCTATTTTTCGGAGTTTAACTAAAAGGAATGCAGTCCGAACTGATCAGCACAATTCAAAATGGCTGAGTGGTAAGGAAGCATTTACTGCATTTTCCCCTTTGATGTCTTGTCTTCAACTAACATTTAATACTACACTGATAATATGGAAAGTAGTTAAAAACTAAAGTTTCGGGCTTTGACGTAAGTAGTCCTAATTCTATATTCTACGTGCCAAATAAATAGCCATCATTTTTATTCCAATTTTTTGATTTATTAATGATGATAAAATTGTCATAAACTAGGTAAATACAAATGTCAGTGGCACCCATCATGCCTACCTCCATTTGCTAAATGGTAATATATTCCAGTTAAATGTGGTTTTAGTTATTGTAATCACTTTTATATTTCCATATTTCTAAATTGAAGAATTCTACCAAACTCACATCTTTAGATATTTCTGGTGGATCATACACAGAAACTTTTTGTGTTTGCTTATGTTAATAAGCTAAAATTACAGAAAGTGGCATATCACTGCTTCAAAACGTCACTAATTTTAAATTGTGATGGTATGATTACTTTATGATAATCCTTGTTTACTTGTTTCAGACTCTCAAGGTCATTAGGTACCACACCATGAAAAGAGGCTAACTTAATTTTACTGTGTGATTCCAGTCTGTTTCTGTCATGCAGAGGAGGAGGAGATCACTGAGCGCTTGCCATTCCAGCCTCAGGAAACTTGCAAACTCACTCTAAATTGCCTGTTTAGTCAATGATGCAGTTTAGCATGAGTCCCCACAATTAAGCGTTGTATCTCATTGATTGGTCAGCGATGAAAGCATTGGTTGTCTTGCCTTTTCCAGTTATTCCCCCAGTACTTCTGAAAATAGAATATTCTAAAAAGTTGTTTTGTTCCTGAAATAAGGAGACCCTCTATGTCTACACTGACTACATTTTTTTCTTTGAAACATTTCCTATTCCTTTCATTTGCTGTATTTTAAGGAAAAACAGAGTCAAAATTTGATACTGTATCAACTTTCTTCTTCTTCTTCTTCTTCTTCTTCTTCTTCTTCTTCTTCTTCTTCTTCTTCTTTTCTTCTTCTTCTTCTTCTTCTTCTTCTTCTTCTTCTTCTCTTCTTCTCTTCTTCTCTTCTTCTTCTTCTTCTTCTTCTTCTTCTTCTTCTTCTTCTTCTTCTTCTTCTTCTTCTTCTTCTTCTTCTTCTTCTTCTTCTTCTTTCTCCTTATCCTCGTTCTCCATCTTCCTTCCTCATCTTCTTGTTTCTCCTTCTTATTCTTCTCCTTCTCTCCCTCCTCACCTTCCCCTCTTCCTCTTCTTCCCCTCCTCCTTTTTCTCCTCCTATTTTTCCCTCCTCCACCCTTACTGCTTAAAGTTATTTCTTCTTTTTCCTTTAATTGAAAATAGATTATTTTCATACAACATATTGTTTGCAGTTTGCCCTCCCCCCCAACTCCTCCCAGTTCTTTATACCTCCTCTCTCATCCAGCTCTACCCCATTTCTGTCTCTTATAAGAAGACAAACAGGCAAAAAAGAATATTAGTAAAATAAAATAGAATATTGTAAAAGGAAAATAAATTGGGATAGCACAAAACAACGAATGAAAAAGAACCAAAGAAAAATCACAAGAAATTTATATAGATGCGAAACACACAGAGCAGTTCTATGAAAATATAAAGCCAGAAGCCATGATGTATATTCAATGGACCTGTAAGATAAAGCAAAAGCAAAACAGCTCCCTCATTGACTTAATATTAGGGGACAAAGACCCTTCAAAGATGTGTTGGTTATTGACTGCTAGACATGCCCTTAGTGATTTGCTTCTCCAGTGAGACTCTCTTGAATAAAACTAATTTTTCAATTGCAAGTGACTATCCAATGAAGAAAGCTATCTGGTTCGTATTGGACCTTCATATTCATATTCTGTTTTAATTAAGTATATATATATATATATATATATTCAAATGTAAACACCAAATTTAAAAACCAACATAAAAGTAAAACAAGCATTAAATTCCATAGAAATAACTGCTAAAATAATATTCAAGTTACAAAGAATTTTTATATTACTATATATTTCTCTCTCTCTCTCTCTCTCTCTCTCTCTCTCTCTCTCTCTCTCTCTCTCTCTCTCTTGAGACAGGGTTTTCTTGTAGGTTTGGGGCCTGTCCTGTCCTGGAACTAGATCTTATATACTAGCCTGGCCTCAAACGCACAGAGATCCACCTGCCTCTGCCCCTGAGTGCTGGGATTAAAGGCATGAGCCACCACCACTCAGCTCAATATTACTATATTTCTTAAGTGTCCTTCAGACAGAGATAAGCTTTTGTCTGTCACACTAGAGTTATGGTTTGTTATGTTTGGCACTCTCTTTGAGGTATGTTGATATACAGTGACTGCTTTTTGAAATTTCGCCTATGAAGAGTGAATTAATCACTGTTGGGAAATGAATGCATTTGTTGTCTGTTTCAAAGAGCAGGAGGGTTTTGCCATGGCGCAGGCCTTTAATCCCAGCACTTGGGAGGCAGGCGGATCTCTGTGAGTTCGAGGCCAGCCTGCTCTACAAGAGCTTGTGTCAGGACAGGCTCCAAAGCTACAGAGAAACCCTGTCTCGAAAGACTAAAAAAGAAAAAAAAAGAGCAGTAGGTGGCTTTTATCATTCACACAATCTTCATACTTCTTTTGCAAGAACCTATGTTTGTGGATGCACACGTTATCCCGGATGGTACTGATCCAAATGATGCTAAGGTGTATTTCTTCTTCAAAGAAAAGCTGACAGACAACAATAGGAGCACCAAACAGATTCATTCCATGATTGCCAGAATATGTCCTGTAAGTGCACTGAAATTTTTAATTAAGGAAATAATTCAAATTATGTAATATGCTTTCCAATATTTCAGTGTTTTTTTTTTTACCGTTTACCAACAAATAAAGTAGAAAGGAGAATGTTATAGAGTATGCATTTCACAGTTTTTGTGAGACAATTATACCACATTTCAGTAAAAATATTTAGGGAGATATTTTGATTGTTTTTTTAAACATAGAAGTAGTTTTGGATAATTTTGCAATTCCATTTGCTGTGTTGCAGTCAAACAAATTACCAGAGAAAACAAAATAATTCTTGTAAGTAAGATACAGCATAATGTCAGTAAAACATAATTATAAAAAAAGGCAGCATGCAACAGTGTAAATTAAGAAAATATTTTGTCATTTTAATAAGTATCAGTATATAAGCCCTGCAAAAAAAGACACTGAAAAAAAATTCTGATCCAATCTATTGTATACTTTTTTTTAGACTTTTTTGGCTTATTTGTGATAATTTCATTTGTCAGATGTATTTATTGAAGTAGCCAGTGTTTGTTTATCTTTAAATATTGGGATATTCTGTTGACTCATCTGTTTCTCAATAATTTGAGTCAATATAGCAAAGTTAGCAGGAATAAAAAGATTGTTGGACATTGAGGAAGACAATAGTCACCGGTAGACAATATGAAAGAGCAAAAGTCCATGCCCTGTGCATTTGCCTGGAAAATGTATGTAATAAATCAGCCACTGGGAAATACAAAGTATAAGTGAACATGCTGAGGTGGGCAGGATAAAATAGAATGATCTGGAGGTTTCGGATGTGGGATATGCCCACTCTCCTGAACATAGTAAGCTCTGAAAGCTACAACTGTATGCAGTAAATTTCATATACATCAAAGAGAACAAACATTTGCCTTGGCAAGTGGCAGTTATTTATTCACCTGATATAACATTTTATGTTGTATATTGTAAAAATTGAGTCATATACTTATATTTCCATATAGTTCATTTCTTGCTGATACCGTAGTATAAAAGATCAATCAAAAAATACTAAAGATCCTAGTTGCTTTTTTAAATTGAGGGTAACACTTTCTAAACTTTAGATAACCATAAATTAAAAACCAGCGTTCCAGCTGAATTTATAATACACAACTGTTTCTCCAATCATCTGAATTGTGTTTGTATAATGGTTCCAGAATGACACTGGCGGACAACGTAGTCTTGTCAACAAGTGGACCACATTCTTAAAGGCAAGACTTGTGTGCTCCGTCACAGACGAAGATGGCCCCGAGACACATTTTGATGAATTAGGTGCGTGGATGTGACAGTGGGCACTGTTTTTGAGAAGGACTTTATGAGCATCGTGTGTCTTACTAAAGTCTCAGATAGGAGCATTTTCTCTGTATGGTAACAGTGTAAATGGTGTTCCACCTTGGGAGGGAATTGTCAATTGCTCAGCGGTGTCCTTAAATATGTTAGTAATTTCTTCCACCATTGAATGCACTGTTAAAATGCTAAGACTTTAATGTGGGGGGGTGGTGGAAAGACTTCTAAAATTTATATACAGGTAATGGCATGTTTGATCATTTATAAATGAATTTATAATATATATTTATAATATTCTGATCTAAAGCAATTTAAGTTTAGGAAACTCTAAATCAAAATATTATACACTATTCATTTAAGTTCTTATATTTTTCAACTAAATAAGTGTATACACAAACATACATACACACATATATATGTAAGTTCTACATTAAATAGAAAATTTCATAAAGTTTTAAAAAAGTGTTATTATAAATGGCAAGAATTATGTTCCCAGCTTAGTTCTTCTTGATGATTCTCACTAAGTGTTCCTTTTATGAGAAGAATCTTATGATCTGCAGATCAAATAAGGACTAATAGTTTATTGAAAAATGGTTTTCTGTAGTTGAAGTACCTTGTTAATGCATCATAACGCTGTGACAGCTATTTAGACATATCTCTTTTCAAATACTATCCATTGAAATGTATAGCTTAGTCAGTCTTAGATTTTGAGACATATGTTGAGGTAAACAATACATATCTATTACAAACTGCAAAAATGCACTGATTCTAAGAGTTATAAATAAATCTGAAGGGGGCTATTTCTCACCTTAAGAAACATTATCTGTTATATGGTCATTGGGTCTTCAAGACTCAAGATTCATGTTTTATTTTTACTGTATTATAAAAGCATCTGTCTCTGCTTATGACATACATTAAAGTCTTATTGTTAGATGAATTGTTAGATAAAATAGTCTTGGAAATCTTGAACGTAAGTCTAAATAAAGTTTTCTTCCTACAAAGGAGGTTTTATATCTTTTACTTACCATGCAAAAGTTTCTTCAGCATTACAACTTCAAATCATAGATTGAAAGAAAACTGCTAGTTGAGTCATTTTTCAATTAAAATGAATGTATCATCAACAGAGGATTTTGAGGAATTGCAGAATCAAGCAACAAGAAAATATCTGTGGCATCCCTACCGCGGAGAGCATGGTAGGGCTTTGCCTACTCTACAGACTCACGGTATCAAGGATTTCAAAGTTCTAGTCTATAGTTTCCATTTGGGGTTTTCCCCTTAGTGTTTATACACATACCGCCATTTCCACAGAGACACAGTCTTTCTGAATGCTCTCAGTGGCAGGCTCGCATTTGATTTATGCTACCAAGCGCGTATCACCACATTTATAACAAAGTGGAGGGATTTTCCAGTAATACCTTCTTGAGGATTATTTTTCATAGTTGAAATTGTTGTATTAGGATAATTCGAAATCGGCAACTGGCATTTGAGAAACGTTAAAAGAATATGTTTTCCTTTTGATAGAGGATGTATTTCTGCTAGAAACTGACAATCCGAGGACTACCCTTGTGTATGGCATCTTCACCACGTCCAGGTAATTATGAAACAGCAGCAGCTCTTTCAGTAAACAACAAATGTTTTCACTTTGCTTGCTTTTTCCAGATCACTAAGACACATTTGATCTCAACTAATGTTTACAAATGCATTTTGAACAATCATATGTTGTTCTACGGAAGAAATAAAGTGTGAGTTGAATAGTAGAAGTAAAATGCTTGAAGTATTTGTTGACATAACAAAGTTAAAGACAAATGGCTCTAATAAAATCAGAATCTATGGTATTGGTGGTGAAGAATATGTTTCTACCCTGTATTTTAGCAGTGGTAGCATAAATATATATATATATATATATATATGTAGAAGTCATGGAAGAGTATATGTTTAATTATTTACATTTTTTATAGCAGACATGCATTATTAAAACTAAAAAAGAATATTTTTGATTTGAATTAAAATAACTTCACTTCATCACTAAAGTGATGGCTTTGAGAAGGTGACAAAAGCTGGACCGGTTCTGTTATTCTGTAATATGACAATATTTTTGCATTTTAAAATAGGCTTAATATTTTCTAGCTTTTCCTGGAGTCCAATGGCAGTTGCAAAAATACAATTGTGTTTTGCAGTGCGTTTCCCACATACATGATACTTTCTGTGCACATATCAGTCTATTAATTTTGTACTAGATGTTACTCTGAATTCAGCCTAGTACTCCAGCCAAGTCTTTTAAATTAAAGGGAATGGTGAATAGGTTCCTTTTCATTTATTAGAAAACTGCAAAATGGTGATAGGAAATATTCTTTTCTAGGTGAGTTTTAAATGTGGTATAAGTGTCTGGGGTGAATCTTCAGTAAAAAAAAAAAAAAAAAAAAAAAAGAGAGAGAGATCTTATTGTTCGTACATGAGGCCCTGAGTTAGATCCCTGACACCTATTTAAATGCCAAGTATGGTGGCATTTCATATAGCCCCTCATGGGATAGAGATAGAGAGAGAAGGAGAGAGATGTTCTAGGGAGCTTGCTGGCAGGCTAGTCTTACCAAAATGGCCATCATCAGGTTCACGGTGAGACCCTGTAGGAAGGGAATCAGGCCAGCAGTGACAGGGGACAACACCTGGAGTCTTCCTTTGACTTTTGCGTGCACAAGTACAGGTACACATGCCTGCATGTAATGTGTATACACACACCCACACTCATACACAACATACAGAAAAGAGAAAGAAAAAACCATAAAGTGTGGTGCAATTACTGCTATGAGCTTTTCAAAATCAAAGAACTGCCAGGAACACCGATTATCAGTCATTGAGGTCTACACCCCAAGGTGCCCCGGATGTCCAGGATGGTATGCTGAGCTAATGAATAAATCCAGCAAATGAGTAGCATCACTTTAGTTTATTACAAAAATGAATGACAAGATAATAAAAAATCTAATAAAATATTGGTTTCGGTCAAATACTGATTTTAATAAAAATTTTCTAGTTTATATTTGTCAAAAATTAGCTTGACCATTACACATTAGAAAGTATCATTTTTACCTACTGATGTTAATAGTTAATGATTAAAGCTTTATTTCCATCTAAAACTTTTTAAATTAGCCTTCTAGTTTGGAGTCACTATTAAGTAAAAAAAAATATGATTTCATTTGCAAGTAGTTATCAGTTGGAGATTTCCTCTGGGCTAGGGATGCGGGTGTGTGTCTACTTCCTCCTGAGGGGTTACTGGAGACGGCTGGATTAGGGCAGAATGTTACAAGATCACTCATTCTGCACCAGTGGCTCCAGGTCTCTGGGCTGATTCCCCACTGCTGGAGGAAGCTTCTCTACTGCTGAGCAAACCATTGATCTGCTCCCCTAACCAGAGCGCCCAAATCCACCGGCACAAATAAAAGAGATTTTAGAAAAAATAAAACCGATTCTTTGCTTTCATTTTCAGCTCTGTTTTTAAAGGATCTGCAGTGTGTGTGTACCATCTATCTGATATTCAGACTGTGTTCAATGGGCCTTTTGCTCACAAAGAAGGCCCCAATCACCAGCTGATATCCTACCAAGGCAGAATTCCATATCCTCGCCCTGGCACTGTAAGTACCCGTGACACTTACTTTTATCTTATTTAAGCAGAAACTTCATTTACAATTATTAAATATAGCTATGGTCCTCTGGGTACGCTCATTATGATTTTCAACTTCATGGTTCTAGCTTAATTTTTGCCTGGTTTGAGATGTGCTAATACGTCATATACATTATAAAAGTGAGATTTTGTAAGTGCTATAATTAATAGCATAATCTCACCAAAATTCTAAATCACCTTAGTAAAGTATGGTAGATATATTTTTTTTTTCTAATTTTAAAGCCCTCACTTTGAAATTTTCAGAGGGAGACTTAATATGCTAACACTAGTACCAACAGTGCTCCCCACCTTTCCTTTCTTTTGTTGACACAGTCTTTACTATGTAGCCTTGGTCAGTTTAATCACTAAGTAGACCAGGCTGGTCTTGAACTCATAGAGATCCACCTGCCTCTGATTCCCAAGATCTAGGACTAAAGGCAAGCTCCAGCATACAGTACCTGCTAGCTGTTTGTTTGTTTGTTTAGTAATACTTGTTTACATTTTTACCTTAAGAAATTTTGTTGTAGATAATGATACTCTCATGAATATTAACCTAGAGATAACTGTTACCTGCCCTTTTGACATATGTGTCTGCTGGAATAGCAGCTGTTAATTGAAAAATTAATCAGGAAAATTTTCAAATCCTTGAACCAAATCAAAATGAAAGTATAACTTTCCAGAACCTTTGGGGCTGTGGCTAAAATATTACTAAAAGTGACATTTATGACTGTGAATGTTTACATTAAAAAGTCAAAACAGACCTGGAGAGATGGCTTGATTGTCATGATTACCTGTTATTCTTGCACAGGACCCAGGTTTTCACATGATGCACAGACAGACATATAGTTGGGCAAAACTCTCACACATAAAATGAAATTAATAAATCTAAGTTTTAAAAATGGACTAGAATTAATGGCTCAGCAGTTAATATCATTTGTTGCTCCTGTAGATGACTCAGGTTTGATGCTTAGCACCCATATGGAGGTTCACAACTATCCATTCTTTCAGTTCCAAGTGTAGCAATGTTCTTTCCTGGCCTTACAGTGACTAAGAACACACATGATACACATATATACACCCAGGCAAAACACTGACAGATCAAATAAAAATAGCTTAATCTAATATAATATCAGAATACCTCAAATAACCTACCATGTGCTTAAAAGTCTTGGAAAAATAGTACAAAGGCAAATTCAGAAACAGTAGGCAGTGAGGTAAAAAAAAAAAAAAAAAGGTCAGGGTGTGTGATTTGGTTTGGCTTTGTTTTTCAAGACAGGGTTTCTCTGCACAGTGCTGACTGTTCTGGAACTCTGTAGACCAAGCTGACCATGAACTCCCAGATCCACCTGTCTCAGCCCCACAACTGCTAGAATTAATGGTTTGGACCCCCACCAACTAGTATCTTGGCAGATATTGATGAAATACCTATAAAGAACAGAACATACAATCAATCAACTACAATGCAGTCAAGAGATACCTAAGACTGACTAATCCCTAGCTGAACTGACAAAAATGAAAGGAAGACAATATAATTAAACTAGGGAGTATTCTAACAAACTTAACATACTTATTAGAGAAAATGGTTCCATCCCAGAAATCTTGATAAAGTCACATATGATCTGAAAGAGTTAAATGACGAAAGCACAAACAGATTAAACAAGCTATAACACACAAGGAGACTGAAGCAGCAATAGGAAAAAAATCAAAACAAAACAAAATAAAATAAAACTCCCAAGAAGAGAAGGACCAGATGGATATATTCACTGCTCCTTTCCAACAAACTTTTCTGGAAGAGCTGACAAGAGTATTGATCAAGCTGTTCATAAAAATAAAAAAGAAGGCACACTAACAAAATAATTCCACTAAAGTATTCTCTTGAAGCTAAATCAGATAAAAACACAATGGAATAAAACAAAACTGTGGGCTGCTCCCACTGACAAACACAGATACAGATATTCTTTTTTACTTTTCATTTTTATTTATTTTTCTCTCATATAATACAACCTGGCTGCAGCATCTGCTCATTCAATTACTCCCAGACCTCCCCTCCCCTCTTCCTTCTCTTTTTCCCTTCAGGAAAGAACAGTCCTTCCAATGGATAGATACTAAACTCAACAAAGTACAATATGATTAGGCACACACCTCCATACAATATTAAAGGGGTCAAGGAAAAAGGTCTCAAGAGCAGGCAAAAGAGTCAGATACTCTTGTTATTTATTTCTAAAAACACTGTATTTAAAATGGTACAGTTAATTATGTCTAACAAGTAACTTGATTAGGCAGAACACTGACTAATTGCTTTTACAACCAAGGAAAACAATCAACAGATGTAATCATCTCAGGGCCCTTCAACTGATAGCAGGTATGGAGCAAAGGTGACTTAGGAGAGAAGGGAGGGAAAGGCTGAGAAAACTGCATGTGAGTTAAAGTCTCTCTTTGCTTTGTTCAAATTATTTCATGCATTCCCAGAAGACTAACTGCTAACTGATTCAAAGGTAAATTATGCTTTTTAAATGACTAGAAGTTGGGCTAATTGAACCTACACTTTCATTCAGAACAGTAACAGGTAGTTGCGGTTTGGTGTACTTTCTCCAGTGTGTGAGCAGTTAGTACAGAAGCAACTGACTTGCAAACTCAGAAAAACTCACCCCCTCCCTCCTGTAGCTTATGGTTGCATTCATTGAATTGAGGCCTCAGAATCTCATGAAGGCTGTTCTGAAACCAGATTGCTCCTGTCTCCTGAGTATATTACTTATTCCTTTTCTCAACCAAGGACACCCACGCCGTTACTTGAAATTAGCCATGGTCAAGATATTGTGCAACTGAAACACGCCTCATTCTACCTATGGCTCTTCCCCCATGTGACATCTTAAAAGCCACTTTGACATGTACACAGGGCTTTAAGTATCACATAGAAAACCACTCCATCGAAAAGCAATAATTGTGTACACTGCGGTAAGAGACCAACCCTTTTCCACAAATAAACCAATGCTAAATTAGAAAATTCTGCTAACAGTCCCATTTTTTTTTTTAAAGCCCGTAAGAATAAGCATTTTCCGCTGTCCGAAAACAGTGTGGAATAAGCCAGGGATTAGTGATACACACATCTGGAACAGAATCCTTGCAAAATGGGAGTAATCAGTACTTAAGACATTTTTCTATAATGTGGTTTCTTACATCTGGTATTGAGACCACAACAGCTCCTTTAAATCCAGAAATTGTCAGATGAGTGATCCTTGGGGAATCAACAGGGCAGGATGGAGAAATGACCCTGGAACTCCTCCTAGAGAAGTATGCTTCCCCAAAGAACTGGTCGCTCCACCCTGAGCCCAGCAAAACAACATGAAGTCAGCTTTCTTACTCAGTTGCCAGTGGCTGCCTCAACCCTATGCTTCCTACTTCTGTAGCCAGAGGATATTCAGCCAAGTGAACTCCACAGTCCTCTTCCTCTAGGTCAAGAATGCTGTCTCTGTCTCAGAAGTCTTCCCAAGGAGGAATCAAGTGTGATTGTCATTCTTCATTTCTCCACAGTAGTCTGGTTGCTGGGTCAACCTCATAAATATATAACTGTGTTTTTACATAAATGACACGGGCAGAAATCCTATACCCTCCTTCTCAGCTTCCCTGTAGGGGTTCCTTCAAAGCAGGGTACGTTGCTGTCCTAGCGAACAGCCCAACCAGCAAGCACACGTAAGTGCTGGGAGGGCTGCCAAGTGTGTCATAATGTTTTCCCCTAAGTACTCTCAGTTTGTGGAAGAAACAAGACACCACTGGTATGTCGCAAAGGGCAAGTGAGACTGCAGACTCTGTGGCTGAGCTAATGAATTACCTTATCCTGTCACAGTGAGGGTGAGGCTTCTGTAGACTTCTTCATAGCCTGCACACCCCACTGAAGCAGAACCTAACAACGCGATCATTTTTAACTCCCATTTCGGGGTGTCTCGGAACCATATCCACCAGCATCCTAAGGAGAACAGTTCCCCCAAAGAACACAGCCTCTGTTTCTCTTCCATACTGATACTAGCAGTCATATTTGCTCACTCTCCTAACTTTGTTTTCTTTTTTTTTTCATTTTTGAGATTATAGTTTAATTGGATTTCTCCCCTCTCTGTACCCCCTTCAGGGCCCATATACCACTCCCTACTATTCTTCCAATTCACAGCTTATTATTTCACTAATAGTTGCTTCATGCTTATCTATTCATAAATATTACCTATTCAGTCCTTTAATGTTATTTGTATATTTATTCCAGTGAGGTGTGTGTGTGTGTGTGTGTAGGTAGAGGTCAATTTGCAGCCTCTACCATGTATGAATTATGGATGGGACTCAAGTATTTGACTTTGGGAGCAAATGCCTTTATCTGGGGAGCCCTCACCAGCCCGACAAATTCATTTTTAAAATACTGACTGTTTCATGTGCATGACATTTGGTCTTGAATCATGCTCTGCCATTTAGATTTTACGTGTCTCCGATTATTACTTTATTGTCAAAAAATGATGTTTGTCTATTTTATTAGTATGCTTGTATCTAGAAAGTCACAGTAATTTCTTATTCTAATGCTTACCACAGGACTCATCAAATAATATTTGGATAAAATAATTATTCAAAGAAGGTACTTTCCTCACAGATCTAAGGACAACATAAGAAGACTAGAGGCATCAATGGTTACAAACACTTGAGAGTAGCTCAGGAGTTAGGCACGGACACAACTGTTCATCTCTCTTCTGCAGAACGGTCATGGCTTTCAGCTTTTCTGTTGGCACTTCAGTGAAGATGTCTCAGAAAGTGGTATTTACCACCACTTCATAAGAGTGGGATAAAACAACTGGGAAAAAACAAATACTTAAGAAGTTTAACTAAAATGATTCAGTGATGACCTGTATAAAAATTAACCTACAGAACGCCAATGTTTCTGATGGGACTTAGTGATTATACCATCTTCTTTTTTATATCTACATCATTTCCATCTTTCTTTTACCTCTCCAAGTTCTCACATACCCCAGCACATTCACATTTATGACATTTTCTGTAACTGTTCTTTTTTCTAAAATTTTTATTACAATACAAACACATATGCATGACCTTCTGAATTCATTTAATGCTGTTCCTATATACATAAGACTAGGGTTTGCCTCACTGCATTTAATAAGCTATTGGGGCTTGGTCTCTCTATAAAACTGATTCTCACTGTCTCAGGAGCTCTTCTAATGATGAGACCTAGTGACGTTTCCAACATTCACGTTGGCATGTGAACTGGTATTCATTAGGCAGGTCTTTTTTCTAAGATTTATTACGCTGCAATGTTCTGCCTGCACTAGATATTATTACAGATGGTTGTGAGCCTCCATGTGGTTGTTAGGAATTGAACTCACGACCTAGGGAAGAGCAGTCAGTGCTCTAATCCTTTGAGCCATCTCTTCCCTCCTAGGCAAGTCTTTTTTATGTGGAGATTCCATAGGAGCAATGCCATGAGTCACCTTTTTGTGGTTACTTCTGTCACAATCCCTAGCCCTAATGGCTTTGTAATATCCAGGTCAGGGGTATGGGTATGAGGATTACAGATGTGAGCTAAGAGGAACAGAGATAAGGAAGAAACACAGAGACACAGGATAGTAACAGGAGGGCAACTCAGCGAATACTGAATGCTGAATTACAAGTTCTAAGTCCTGAGTTGGCCCGTGTTTAATTTTCCATACACTATTATACCCCAATACAAAATGGGGGGTAGGGGTCAGGCCAAAGACTGCTTTAGCATGATACAAAGGACAACTAGAACAGTTATCTGCTCCAGTCCTTGAGACATCAAGCCATGGATTCCTGAAGAGAGCATTTGATGTTAAAACCTCCTATTTCAAAAGAAGGAGCAGAAGTATGCTTGCATTCTCTGACCTTTGGTCAGGGTGGAGCAGATCCAGATCTATGGCCATCTTAAGTCCAAAACACCAAGTAACCAGATCCTAGGTCAGGATATCTTGTTTTGTAGCCACACCTGTTATCAAAAACTTTGAAAGAGCAAAATTTAAGGTCAAACTCTCTGACCTTCAGATAAGGTGGAATAGGCACACAGTTTTGGGTATCCACAGAGCAGCTACCTGGTCATGTCTACATGACACTAGCTAGTGACACGGGTTCTCATTCTCTTACCCTTTCAAACTTTTACCCCTTATATGGGTTTCTTTGATCCTTGGGTGTATGGATCATACTGTAGATGTGCTTACTGGGACTGGGCACCCCACAGTCACCTATCTGCATTTTAAACATTGGGAGTATGAGTCTCCATCTGCTGCACAAAGCAGTTTTATTGATGAGGAGAGAAAGCAACACTTATCTGTAGGTATAAAGATACATATTTGCAATACAGCTAGAAATCCTATGCCTGTAGGAAAGTATCGCCATAGGAGCTCACCCTTAGGCTCGATGGCTCCTCCAGACCTTAGGTCCAATTACATAGGCAAAATTGGACACATATCTTTTCGCCTAAACAAGATAAAAGACCTTAGTGTGAAATTTGAACTGCTGAAATTTCTAGACTAAAATATGGTTTATGTTACCCCAAGGTCCCAATATGCATGCTTCCCTGTTCCAGATGACCATGAAAGAGCCGTTGCACACTAAATGTCCTTGCCTGGTTTACAATGAGGAACCTCAACAGTGCATATTGGGGGAGGGGTCACCTTTTTATCTTGTCACCATTTTTACAACTCATTTTGTCTTGAGTGCTAATCCTGTGTCATGAATCAGCAGTGTGATTCCTAATTAGAATAATCCTTTTCTAAATTTGAAAATGATGTCACATGAAGAGACTCTTATTTTTAAGGTAGGAGAACATTGTGCATAGATAATAAAAGCATGACTAAAGAAATTATTGAGGGTAAAAATGTACAGAACTCTAGACTAAGGCTGCCAAGAAGGCTTAGCAGATAAAGAAACTTGCTCTGCAAGCATTATGACCTGAATTCAATTCCTGGAACCTATGTAAAAGTGGAAAAAGAGAATTGACTCCACAAAGCTGTCTTTAAACCACACACACACACACACACACACACACACACACACACACACACACGTGCATATATCATAACTAACAACAAAAATTGTAAAAATAATAAAAATGAAAATTTTAAAAACTACTAGTTTGTGTTACCTATTTAACCAGCATAATTTTGAGCAACTTTAACAAAACTTTCAGTATGATTTTTTTAAGTTTAAGGAAAAGTTCTAAATAAGACTCAGATAATTTAATAGGCTGTCACATATATGTATACAACAATGTTTAATTTTAAAAAAAAGCCGTTCGAAAGAAAGCAAGATGAGATAAATGGGAGAGTTCAGAAGAAGGAAAGAAGCAGTGAATTATGTAACTATATTAATCTCAAAAATAAAAGAAATTATTTTTATAGGTAATCACACTTCAGAGTACTAAACTGACTGGACATTATGCAGCACGCCTAGTAATGTAAGCTAACTATGCACTTTTTTAGTACCAACAAAAATGCTTACAAACACTTGAGGAGATGGATCAACAGAGCAAGCCACAATTAGTGGTGTCTTCAGAGTCTGGAACTGATGAAATCGCCCTCACATTGTTCTTTCCATATTTCATTCAGTGAGCAGCATGCTGCCCTTTTTCCACTTTGTGTGAAAGACGAAGGCTGGAAAAACCCATAACCCCTACTTTGAAGAAGTATGGAACACAACTGTCAGCTATGAACAACCTCAAATTCAATTCTGTGTCCCCGTTTGGTCTTCATTTTGGGAAATTTATAAACAGGAATATTTAAATACAATGTTTTTCTTATAATGAAAAATATTCCAAGGTCATGGGAATATCCAATGACAGACCGTCTTTATTATTTATTTCTTTAGCTGTTTTTTTTTTTTCTAAAAAGAGAATGTGTGTGTGTGTGTAATGTGTGTGTGTCCTATAAAAAGTTCTTGGCTAAATTGTTCTTGGCCTAAAGCGTGCATTCATGATGATAATGGGTTTGCGTGTGGATTCTGCCGAGAGGTTTGAGCAAATGTTTGCCTGTCCTGTCCGTGCTGACACAAAGGAGCTGATGTCATTGGCTAGATATAGCAAGGATCCAACACAGGAGATGACACATCTTGCTTGGTTTCCAATGTGTTTGTCTTTCTTAACAAAGTCAGCAGGAAAGATTAGGCAGATTTCACACAACCCTCCCCATTTCTGCCCTCTGTTAAAGTCTGATAGTGTTCACATTCTGTTCCTGGCGGGAGTGAAGAGTTGCTTCACTGTCAGCCTTGAGAAAAGCCGAGCTCTCTAGTAGACCACGGTCCTGAGAGCATGCAGGAATTTCCAAGATGCTAAGAACAGCAATTTTGCTTTGTTTGCTTTATGCAGTATTCCCTTAAAGACTAAATAAAACTAAAACTGGGGTATTGTATTTGAAGTAAAATGTGAAATCCATTTTTGTTTCTGAAAGTAATGCTATGGAGTATTTAATAGATTTAGACACACACTGTTTGTGCTGACATATTGACTTCACCAATTTGGCTCACAGGACTTAGCACACATGGTCTACCAGTGAGTGAGTGTGAGCTCCAACCCTCAGCATTTCCATTTTACCTGAACGTTGATCCTGGGTGTCAGGGTAACCATCCTCCTCTGTCAGTCTGCTTCCACCGTGGAAGCTTTCTGGTTGCCTATTTTCCCAATGCCATTGCCTCTTTCTCTCTGCCCTGACGACCTGCAGCTCTATCCATCCCTCTTCCAGAAAGAAGGGCGCCTTCTCTTTCATCTGGTCCTCATACCAAAGTTTCAGGTGAGGTCATCTAATGAAGAATGTAATCACTCCCTCAGCTATAGTCACCAGACATCGACTGTTGCTACTTTCATTGAATGAAGAAATGATAGGCAAAACAGGCAGATCATTTCCTACTAATACAGTTTATGATCTAGGCAGGAAACATGCAGTAGATATGAAAGCAATCTATATGGAAAGAACCATTTGGTAAAGGGAACTGAGAACTGAGTGAGGATACGGGAAAGCCAGATGGGCAACTGCACGTGCCAAGACTTAAAGACCATTGTTCCTGAGACTCAGGGGTGGCACTAGCTCCAGTGGCAAGCTTGACTCCCTGCAGATTGGAGAGTTGGCAGGACATCCTAAGCTGGTGGTGTTTTGCTCTCTGTAGCTATTGTACTTGATGGAACTCTCTCCCAGATGGGCGCTACCAGAGGTCATCCCCACACTGAGCTGAGCTCCAACTTCAAGATTTGTCTAGGGAAGGCAGATCATAGGGAAAGAGACTCTTACATTAGAATTCGAATTGAATGTGATAATGGCTACCTAATTTGTTTTAGCATTAGACTGTGGTCATGGGTGTTTTTGCCAACAATATACTTCCTGTTACAAAACTGGAAATAGAAGGATGATGGATGAAAAGAGGAGAAAGTCAGAACATATTCAAGTGTGTGTCAGCCCCTCTGTGGAGACTCTGTAGAATAAGGAGGCATTCTACTCAGTTATCTGACACCATTCAGCCTTCTCAGGAAATACACCTCATAGCTTTCTATAGATAGAGACCTCTCTGTCTAAGATCAGACTACTCATCTTCTTCTCTCTGGACCTCCAACGTAATTAAAGCAAGTTGACTTTTTAAGTGTTTTGAAAATGATTATTATTAAGACAAAGGGACCATTTTATTAACTTATTTTCTTCTATTTTTTTTTTTCAGTGCCCAGGCGGGGCATTTACACCCAACATGAGAACCACCAAGGACTTCCCAGATGATGTCGTCACCTTTATTCGCAACCACCCTCTTATGTACAATTCCATCTACCCCATCCACAGAAGGCCTCTGATTGTCCGCACAGGCACTGACTACAAGTACACGAAGATAGCCGTGGACCGCGTGAATGCTGCTGACGGACGATACCATGTCCTCTTCCTGGGGACAGGTAGGTGTTTGAAGTCTTGGTGTACGATCAAGGAATGTTCAGCAGTTTGGGGAGAAAGGAAAGAGCAAACCATTGAGCCTAAGAGATCATCAGTGTTGCCTTTGGTTTAGCCTTTAGTTGGATCCCTCCCACTTCATTTCCCACAGCTGTAAACGGAGTTAACTAAATAAATTACCGATGTAGTTGTGGTAAACAACTGAAGTTCATATATTCAAAGTACTCAAAGCAGTTGAGTTCCTCATCCATATTAAAGTGAAAAATACAAATAATCAGCCAAATTAAGGGCTGGGTGGAAGTTTTCTATATGAACGATGTTCTGAAGAGAAGCAGAATCTGTGACTCACTAACTAATATTTGGAGTCATTTTCCAGAGTGATGGTGATAGATAAGACATTCTTTGTAAATTTCAAAGTAGACTTATGTATAGGAAGCTGTTTGGGAAATATTATAGTTGCTATGTTAATAGAACCAGCAATCCCTAAATTTTCTATTTCTGTTACCAGAAATTAAATAAAAATAGTCTTATTTACAAAGACTTGCCTTACTGGGGACAATGAGTTCTAAGTGTTTTAGAGCATTGGCTCTCACAGTGTGGTCCTCAGACCAGCAAGGTCAATATCACCGGGACCTTGTTAGAAAAACGTTTGAAGGCACTCCTCCCGGAAAGCCAGCTAAGAAACCCAGCCGTCTGTGCTTTAGCAAGCTGTTCTGGTGACTCCAATGCACACTGTTGCAAATTACTAGAAGGGAGCAAGGAGCCTTGGCCTGCTGAGCAGACAGGATTATAAATTCCATTCCTGCTTGGTTCCATTTACACAATGTGGGCTAGGTTCCTCCATATTGCCCAAGCAGCAGAATTCCACACACTTACTGCCTTGTAGGCGGTGACACAGATCTCATCAGCTCTCCTTTTAGATGTAGGAACAACTCCAGGAAGTTTGCAGTGTGTCTTCTAATTAAAGAAACAGATATAAAGCAGGCCTGTGAAAGCCATTGTAAAAAATGTGGCGGCTCTGAAGTCTGTCCTCTGAATGGAAGGCGCTGCACTCAGATTTCAACCAGCTACAAAATGTGGTTACTCTTTCTTGGCTAAACAAAGCTTCCAGCCTGCTCTTCTCATGAAGTTCTTATTTTATCCCTCCATGTAACTCCAACCCTAGGTCTGGAGCTTTCGTTCACACATAATTTTTGTTTGAAATCCTGAGACAGGGAATCTTCTAAAATGTGTTCCTTGGCGTGCCTGGCGGAATCTGGGTTCTTGCTGCTCCCTGACTTGTGAGAAACAAAACCCCTCCTTCCTGATCTAATCATTCCTTATCATGGCTCTCCTACCCTGCGCTCTCCAGGATCTTTGCTGTCAATTATAATCTCAATCCCTAGATTCTTTCATTTTACCCTCTACCAACGTTGACTTAGAAAGCTTCTCCCCACACACAGAGCATGAGTGAGTATTCACCCTACTGCCGATTCTATTTCAGCAGGGCTTTCCGTGTTACCATCCTATAGCCACTAAAATACCTCCCAGCTCCTGTATCCTACAGCGTTTCAGAACCTCTCTTTGTCTGTTGGCATACAGTTCTTGCCCTCGTTCTTCTTGTTTATTGGTGTATCTGCATTTTTTTCCAATGTCCTCCTATTCTTTTGATCACCCTGTTTATTCACTTTGCTTTAAATTGTTTCACGTGCAAACACATTTTAAAAGAATGTGTCATTAAAAGTCCTTGGCAATTCAGTAGTTAAAATAGCATTTCAAACACTGTTGTGCAAACTCCATTTATACTCTTCCAAGACTTTCTAACTAATACTTACTACACTTCCCCATGTTGTATTCACCATGGTACATTCTTCTCACCCTTTGATCTCTTTGAAGTCTATAATTTCTCTATAGGCATATCACAGGGTTTTGCTAGTCCAATAAATATTTGTCAGGTTGAACTTGAAAGTGTGAATATTTCCACTGTTACTCAGGCAATAAAATAAATTCATGCAAGCCCAAAAGACAATCTTCATTTGCATATACATATGTTTTCATAGATGACTCCTAAATTACTACAAAGTGCTGTATTTAGACCAACAGACTTCAAGGTAGAGTTTCGTTGAAAAGAAAAATAAATTCCTGTATTTCTTGACAGAAAGTGGCAGTTTAGAGTCCCACCTCTCTCAATGTCTCTTTAGATAGATGATTATTTTGTTTGCTTCCTTTGAAGCCTGTTTAGAAGATGGATCGTGATGTCATCATAGACTTACTTTCTTTTGAAAATCTTTATAACATATGTAGACTTCATGGGTGGAATTTTCAAGCCTTTTAGAAATATTCAGCAATTTTTACTTAAATAGAAGACAGCAAGAAGCATAGTGTGGCAAAGATGCTTTGGGTTTTCTTCCCACATAAGCTCTGGCACCTTGACATGGATTTTTATATGTGTGCTTAAACACATGTGTCTTTTTACAAGCTGTCTTTGGGCATGGGCTTTTAATTGTAGTGGAGGTTTCACTAATGATCGCTTGCGAAACCTCGCGTCTTGAGGATTCTGTCCAAGCAGGAGAGTGCACGTTGTGGCAAGGCCTCTCCACAGCGTCTTTCTGGAAAGACTGTCACCAACTTAACCACTGATACATGCCCATACTGCCTCACCAGACTGCACCATCCTTATTGAACAACTGTTTCAACAGTCATGAAACCGAGATGAGTAGAGCAATGATATAAAGTGAAATTTCTTTGGAAAAGATACTTTATATATATCGTTATCAGAAAGGCATTTGACTTTTTGGGAGAATCATGCACCATTGTCCTATACACAACTAATTCTGTTTGTAAGTGAGAAAATATCAATTTTTTTTAGATTTTTTTTTCTTAATTTGTAAGTGCAGGTGAGTATTTCCATTTTCATGGATGAATCTTGACACACCACTTATGGAGACAATAAAGAAAGCTGTTTTCATGGTGTCCCTTCTTCTCTGCTATCTTCAGACCTTCAAGGGAATTCAATGAAAGCACCAGTTGTCAAGAAAGTTTCCGTAGAGAAAACTGATGTGACAGAATTCAAAAGAATATTCTGTAATTATAGACGTGTAGCCAGTGTGAGCATTGCGAAGGAAAGTGTAGCTCACAGAACCTCTAATTGGCTATGTGGGCTCAAAGCCTGACACATATTACAACAACTCATTATCATTACAGAATTCATTGAGTCTTAGATGCTGATGATCTAACCTTCCAACTTTATCACCAGACAGACAAGTAAATTATCAAGCCAAAGAGGAGGCTCAATAGTTAAAGGCTAAAACCCACAGCTCAAATTACAAAAGCTAAGACTGAGTGTCCTTTATGTGCAATGAAGTTCCAATCAAAATAAGTAAGTAGAAGGCAGAAATAAGGGAAGACATGAGGTTATGGGGAGAGAATAAAGAAGGTCGGACAAGGAGAAGACAGAGCTTCAGCCAGCAAAGCCTACATAGATTCCTTGATCGTTTTTTACAGAAAAAAGATTATTCTGCTTATTTGGGTTGATAAATATAGAATTTTCATTAAGTTAAGGAAACTATTTTACAGTCCATGGAGGCTGTAAAGGTATTCATGTTTCTACAAATAAAAGTTCTTTTATATATTACATGCTTTTTGTTAAAAATTAAGCTGAGTCTACTTAATTATTTTCATATAATGACTGCTGTTACCCCTTTAAAATCTCAGTTTGTATGTGTGCATAAAATCAACTATTTGTTTTAATCTAATGATTAATATAGATATATTAATATATTCATTTTTCTTATTCTTTGAGAAGGCTTTAACATGGAGGCGGAAGCTATCATGGGATTAGCGTTTCTCTTTTAAGTTGCCACCTACTGCTATTATCCAGGCCACAGGCCCAGAGCAGACTCAATTACACGGTCAGGAGATTTTTACCCTGTTTTCCTTTTGCTTCTGGAGCTATGAAAAATATTTTAGTGTCTGGGGAAGGTTCAGACACATTCTGTCAAGTTCCCCCTTTTAGTACTACGCATGAATCAGAATGATGTGACTTTTGACGAAAGGGTAAGTGTTCTTGTGAATGGGTGTTAAAGATTTAGGATGATTTACCAGCGTTGTGGTTTCTGAAGGCAGGATCGTTGTGAGTGGTCCCCCACCGCAATTCTAATATGGAATATACCATCTCATGCTTCTTATTAGCTCCCATTTAACTGGACGAGTACTGAGTCGGGATATTGACTCCAGGAAATTTTCCCAGTCTCCAGAATTTTGAAGTATGGGCCACATGTGTGAGGAGAGCCTGAGAAGGCCTGTCTGGCAACACTGGAGAATAACCGCATTCTTCCTAACGAGAGGTGTTGGCAGTTGCTGCTCTTGGAATGGCACCCTGAATGAGCCACTGTGCCAGGAATTCCGAGTTTTTAAAGAACTCTCTAAAATACTCATATAAAACTTGATAGCTGCAGAAATGTGTTTGATTTGGGGAAAGACTACCCTCATTTGAGAACTACGCGTGAAAATCCTCTAAGAATGATGTACACATTTCTCTCCCATTTAGCAATGGAGAACGAATCTCTCTAAAATCACTGGGGTTTTATGGCACTGTAGGTCACTTCCTGCCAGGCCAGAATCTGAAAAATTCAGAGAGTTTCTCATGAGTTCCAGTTCCATGGGGCTTTACATAGCAGTCAATGCTGATGGGACACAGTGGAACCATGGCTGAATCGAGGGGAGGAAAATGAGAATTCATGTTGTCATGGAGGCTTTACCATGTAAAGGGCAGCAAAGAAGGAAGGGTAGAAAGAAATAAGGAAGGGAGAGGATAGTCTCCGTGACCCTCTGTTCAAGGACACATGCTCCCACATGAACTGTGCCTAGTAAGACAAGGCGCTGATTCTCTGGACATAGCCCTTGCTATGTAAACCTGACAACAGGAGTGTAAGTCTGCAGAACCCACTTAAAAGCCGGGGGCAGTAGCATATGCATTTATCATCCCAGCACCTCCATGGGGAGGTGGGAAATGGAAACAGGGCAC